CAATATCAATTCCATTTAAACATCAAAAAAGTAATCCTGACAGAATTTGTTACCAACTTACCGCTAAGTTAGTTGACTTTCTAATGGGAAATTAAAATATGAAAAAAATCTTACAAAATATCATAATGTTATTACTTCCGGTGATAATGAAAATATTAATTTAGTTCTATGAAATCATAAATGGGATAAGGCATCACATGGTGAAAAGTTTATGAAAACGAATAATAATTGACACATTTATAGACCAAAAACCTTGAAAAGTATCTTGTAGAAAATTGTCTATTTCCCTGCAACCGTACAAGTTAGAAAGTTCCATTTTGTTGTATCTGTATGATCGTACAGGTTTATTCTATTTGTTGACTGGAATCAAATATCATAATTTTAAAACCATTACAAATGGAACTCATTTGAATAATATATCTGTTTTGAAGGCTTAAAATACAGTTCTTGTCCAAATGACGTCATTTCCGGTGACAGTGAAAATGTTAAATTGGTTTGACCTAGTCAGAATTGGCATTAGGCATGAAATGGTAAAACAAAGGTTGCCAGGCAACAAAACATACGCCCACAGCAGCTAAATCGTCCGGGCAGTCAACAAGTGTTGTCACATATTTTTACTTTTTTCGGTAATGAAACATTTATATTACACTAAAATCTGATTAAGAGTAACAACTCATGAAGTAATTATCAGCAAACCATTAGAATTTGTTTGGTTTTTATAAAGTTCTGCCCCATGCTAACTAGGGCTGTACGATATTCTCGATATAGTCATTTATCGCGATATGGTATTTTCAGACCCAACTACGATATAATGTGGCCAAAAGTCGTCGATATAGTGGGTTATCGAATATCCCCAAAAACTTCAAATATCGAAAAAAATTATCATAAAAATAGATAATAAATACACTATACACTTATACAGCAGTGGAAATTAGCCGACGGCAATAAACTATAATAAAACTAATGTTTTGAGAATCGTTAAATGTTGAAAACACTTGCACAGTGTCCGCAGCCGTTTTTCCCTGCATTGTGTATGCGTTACTTTTACTTTGTTTTTAGTCGACAATAAATTGTCAGTTGTTACTACATGTAAAGCTTAGGCCTACTAAACGCCTGAAATTTCCCACGACCACGGATAATTATTAGGCTATAAATAGGTTGTCATATTTTTAAAAATGAATATTTTTAGAAAACTCTATAAAACTTAATTTCTGAAAGCAAGAATAAAACGATCTATAAATAGATTACTGTCACTGCAAGTCCAGGAATACCGCAGCCAATCGAATGCTTGAATGGAAGATAGTCCGGATCATTTAGTATTTGTTAAACTGTTTTAACTTACAATCACAAGACTTGAAGACCGCATCGACTTACTTCCACTGCACGTGATATTTGAGAATTTTCTTACACAAGGTCACAAGCAGACGCTTTTTAAACATCAGTGGTTGTATTTAATTTAATTATATGTACACGCATAAGTAATGTCTCCTGTTATTGTGTCAAAAAGCATTGAAACGTTTTTAACCAAAAAAGATGTTGTTTTGTTCATTTTAATAAATCTATATTATAAAAAAAAGCAATGTTTAAAGTGTATGAATAAAGCAATTCTTACCCACAATTCTTACTCACACTGTAGTCAGCTTTAATGCATTTATATTTAATTTATTTAATAGCAAAGTGACATTATTATTAAATATCGCGATATTTAACTATATTGTTGAAAAAAATGCCAATATCGATATCGTCCCTTTTTGCAATATCGTACAGCCTTAATGCTAACACTTAGTATACAAAACTTTTAATATCATGGATTTAGCTGTTCAAGTCATAAAAATTTACGTGTTCGAATCAAGATCTTAAACTCTGTGTATCAATCTGAAGTCAATCGGATGATAACTTTAGCCTCTAGAGCATCACAAGAATTTTTAAAGTGATCAAGGGCCATAACTTTGGCAGTAATTAACGGAAATCTTTGAAAAACAATAGGATTCTTTGTCTCATGACCTCAAACACTGTATAAATTTCAAGTCAATCAGATATCAACTTTAGATTCTAGAGCATCCACAAGATTTTTTGAAGTGATAAAGGGCCATAACTCTGGCAGTAATTATCGAAAATCACTGAAAATGAAGAGACTTCTTCGTCTCATGACCTTAAACATTGTGTATAAATTTAAAGTCAATCGGATATTAACTTTAGCCTCTACAGCGTCCACAAGATTTTTCAAAGTGATCAAGGGCCATAACTCTGGCAGTAATTATCGAAAATCGCTGAAAATGAATAGACTTCGTCTCATGACCTTGAACACTGTGTATGGATTAATGCTACAGGTTCATGAAAGTTGTCAAGAAATATTCTAAAATATGAAAAGCCTGAATGCGTTGTAAATAGCTCATTTTTACACCCCTTTTCACCTTTAAATCAAAATGGCGCCAATGCAAAACCAAAATAAAAAAAAAACTAAGCAAGACATATTTTGTCATCGCCCCTGATTGTACAAAAAATCACGTTTTAGCTTGTGAACACTATAGAGGTCACAATTTTTATCCGATTTGGTTTATACTTGAAATGTATGTTTATAACCCACAGATCTCGGTTCCTTTCGATATTCGCGCATATCCGACCATAACTTCCTGAATTATGGCCCCTGATTGTACAAAAAATCGCGTTTTTAGCTTGTGGACCCTATAGAGGTCATAATTTTTATCCGAGTTTTATCCAGCTGAGTTCCAATTTCAGGAAAATCGGTCAAAAACTGAAAGAAAAATGGTCCCCCTTCGTTCTCAAATAACGTAAAAATATGGTATATCAAGGTTGTGGACCCTATAGAGGTTACAATCTTAATCCTATTTTGATGAAACTTGAATTGTAAGTTTATAACCCAAAGATCTCAGTTCCTTTCGATATTCGCGCATATCTGACCATAACTTCCAGAATTATGGCCCCTGATTGTACGAAAAATCTTGTTTTTAGCTTGTCGACCCTATAGAGGTCATAATTTTTATCCGATTCAAAAAAACGTATTATTATATCACCGTCTAAAACTGACAGACAAAATGGCCGCCCTGCGTTCTCAAATAGCGTAAAAATATGGTATATCAAGGTTGTGGACCCTATAGAGGTCACAATTTTAATCCTATTTTGATGGAACTTGAAATGTAAGTTTATAACCCAAAGATCTCGGCTCCTTTTCGATATTCGTGCATATCGGACCGTAACTTTCTGAATTATGGCCCCTGATTGTACGAAAAATCGCGTTTTTAGTTTGTGGACACTATAGAGGTCATAATTTTTATCCGATTTGAAAAACCGTATTATTATATCACCATTATACCCCAAGGACGTCCGAGTTCGAATTTTGTGAAAATCGGCCCAAAACTGACAGACAAAATGGCCGCCCTTCGTTCTCAAATAGCGTAAAAATATGGTATACTATTCAAAAAAAGTAGGGGATATTTGATTTTTAAGTGTTATTAAAGTCACCTAGACTAAGTAAGGCACAGACTGACCATTATAAGGGTAAAATGATACCCGGGGTCAAACAGCAAAGTTACCACAGCATCACAACCAAGTCAGTAACGGGTAAATCCTCCTCTGTTTGCCAAACAAGCATTGATCCGACGTGGCATACTCCTAATGAGACGTCTAAGGTCATTTTGGTCCAGATTGTCCCATTCCTGTTGCAACGCAGCAGCAAGTTCTTGGACATTGGCAGGACGTTGTTGACGTTGACGTAACCTCTGTCCAAGCATGTCCCAGACATGCTCGATGGGGGAGAGGTCGGGACTCAGTGCTGGCCAAGGTAATGTGGTGATGTTCTGTTGTTGGAGGTAACCTGTAACGATCCTGGCCCTGTGACATCTTGCGTTGTCATCCTGGAAGATGAAACGGCGGCCATGACGTCGTGCGAACGGCACAACATGGACTGCCAAGATGTTGTCCCGGTAGTACTGGCCTGTAACACGCCCTGCAACAACATGTAAAGCCGTTCTTCCAGCAACAGTGATGCCTCCCCACACCATAACAGAACCACCCCCAAATCGATCATGTCTGATGACGTTAACGTCTTGGAAGCGCTCGTTTCGACGACGCCACACCCTCCTACGTCTGTCCAAAAAATCAACAGTGAACCTTGACTCATCTGAAAACATCACATTGCTCCAGCGTCGATTATCCCAGTGTTGACGATCCCTACACCAACGACGTCTTGCCTGAATGTGATGATCTCTCAAACAAGGGATCACGCGAGGACGTCGGGCGCGAAGGTGACCCCTATGCAGTCGATTCCGAATCGTCTGGCCACTCACTCTCACACCAGTGTCTGTTTGAAGACGAGCGCTGATCTGATTTGCTGTGATGACACGATTTCTCAAGGCCAAGGTACGGATAAATCGATCCTGGGCTTGAGTTGTCGCCCTTGGTCGACCTGAGCGTGGTCTGTCCTGTACAGATTGTGTATCACGGTATCTGGACCATAGCCTGCTTATGACAGACTGAGAAACATTCATCGTCCGCGCCACAACCGCCTGTGTTGTGCCGATCTGTAGCATGCCAAGGGCACGTAACCTTTCATTTTGGGTAAGCCGACGCATATCAAAATTTGTTTTCTGGTCACTAAAACAATTAAACTGATGTTTCCACCCTGGAATTCAATGCCACAATGACTGTAACATTCAAAGTCAGAGTCGTGCAAATCTTGGGTTGGACCCCCATGATGATCCCAAGTATCACCTGCATTCCATGCGGTAGCTATTGGTGCGTTTGGGCGTCACATGTAACTGGAAATGTTTCTTCTGTTAGGTTCTATAGTGACTTTTTTCGTAGTCATTTGCATATTTTAGTATTATGCCCCCCAAATCAAATATCCCCTACTTTTTTTGAATAGTATATATCAAGGTTGTGGACCCTATAGAGGTCACAATTTTTATCCGATTTTGTTGAAACTTGAAATATAAGTTGATAACAGAGATGGCAACATATGATGACAGCAAAGAGGAGTCAGTACACTTGAGCACCGTAGGTGCGGAAAATGAAGCGTCGCAAAGGAATCATTTCCTGCATTCTGGTGATATTTACAACAAACTTGTAAGTTTTATTTAAGTTTTATTTCTTTATAGCACATTTGCAATATTTACATTGTTATTAATTTCTAAATTTTATGAAGTGATTCATATGTAGCTTTCTTAGCCTCTTTTAGTGTTTGTGAAGAAGGCTTCAGCAGGAGACTTATCATTTTGCATGGCAATTTTGTGGGTTATAACTGCATTTAGGGCTTCTGTAGACATATTCGGTCTAAACTTTGTTTTTACTTTGGTAACCATGCTGAAAGCCCTCTCACAATCAGCATTTGAATGAAAGATCACCAGTATCAACATGACAACTTTTAACAGCAAGGGATATTTAAAATTGCCTGTGTCTGGGTCTTTCATTTGGCCAATTGTGTGCCAGGCTTTATCAATTCGGTCCTCTTTCATTATAGAATCACCAAGGTCATCTACTTGATAAGCTAAAAATTGACCCACTAATTCATTCATTTTCCCATCAACCAGTTTTGTTAAGCATACAGATTTATTTACAAAAAATTTAAGTGATGAGAATTTAACAGAGTCTCTTTTGGATATATCAGTCACAACTGCATTTAATAACACTTTGTCCTGTAACGGAAATTTCTTTTTCATGTGATTACACACAGTAGTGAAATAATGTCTAATTGCAGAATAAAACGGTTTCAGATCCATCCCTGGGTTATCTTCAATAAATTTCCTGGAGTCTGCACCAATATACAGGTCTCCATCATCTTTTTGGTTTATTACATCTTCAAAATTAATTTCCAGTAGGGAGGATGATTTATTTACAACAGATGGTTTTACAAATCGGGTAAGTAGGTCTTTAAACAGTTTTTCTAAGGTAGGTAAGAGAATATGTATACAAGGTTTTTCACTCTGCAATAGCTTGTTGGCAATCTCGAAAATTGGTATAACACTATTCCCAAATATACAATATAAATGGGTGGTTCGACTTTTCAAAAATTCAATAATTTTGTCCACCTTTTTTTTCAGCTCCACTAGATTTTTTACTACTACCAGTGACTGTTGCCTTTGAGGGTTGAACACAAGACTTTTGTGTTGGCTTACTTTTAGGTTTTGGCTTGTCTGCTTGGACTTTTGTGGGGAATAAAAAATCAACACTGACAGAGACACAACTTTTACTCCCTTTTTGTTGTAATATTTCAGACTGTGTGCTTGAAGATTGACCAGTGGAAGATGAAGATGAACCAACATCAGATGAACTTGTAAGTGAGGAAGATTGACTAGTGGACAATGAAGATAGACCAGCAGTAGATGAGGTAAGTGATTTTGATTTACTTTTCTTTTCACTCTTTTTCTGTTCTGATTTGAAAAAGTCACATAAAGGTTGCCACTGACACAAAACTCTTTGCAAACACATTCCCATGGACAACCACGCTAGTTGATACATGTTTTAATATCTTTCAGATTTCCACATTATGTAAGGTCTGAAATTCTTTCAATTCTTTTTGCCTCTTAAAACTTTTGTCTAAATAGTAGTAGATGGATATGAGAATATCTTCCACCGATACAGGTAATGAACTTGCCCCCTTCTCTGCTGCTAGGTGAAGAAGATGACAAGGACAACCTGAAATGAAAAATGCAGGAAATGTTGAGTATTGTATTTAATCATATCTATTGTATCTTCTGACATGTTTATATGATCTATGAACTCATAAATATTGTGATATAGGCCTATTCAATTAACATGTAACTGCAATAATTTCAGACTTATTTTTGACCAGGCATGAGACGGTATTGTTTAGAAGAAAAAAAGATTATTATACCTACCCATGAAGTGAATTCCTTCAGATTCTTTAGCAACAAAGGCAGCCACTCCTTTATGTATTCCACTCATTACAGAAGCATTATCAGCACCAAAACTAATACAATTATCCCATGGAATTTCTCTTTTCTTTAATTCTCCATGCAATCAACTGAAATCAATACACAATACCTTTAACTATTTTCTCATTAATTCATGTTATCATTATACTGTGTATATCATCATCAATTATGTGCATTATAATCATACTCTGTTATTAAACAAAATAATCATCCAAACATCTCATGCAAGTTAAAGCAGAAACAATGTGTGTATATTATCATTATACTTATACTGTGTATATCATCATCAATCATTGTGTGTATTATAATCATACTCTGTTATGTTTTTTTCAATTGTAGAATATTTGTAATATTAATTAAAAAAAAGTAACATACTAACCAACACTGTTTCCTTTTCTCATTGAATAGATTAGATCAGAACAATAACCACATAAAAAATAACACATGCTGCAATTGAAATAACATGCACATATAACTTAGAATACAGAACATAACTGTAAGTTACTGAAGACAAAAGTTTTAATCTATCCTTATCAGTTAACTTTGATCTTAGTTAACATCCAGATTGCCCAGGCTGACAATTTTGAATTGTTCAACTTTTATTAGAATTCATATTTTTAAACTTACTTGAATATATTTTCTCCTGTGCTGTCCATTTTACATTCTGGCATATTTAACAAACTTGTTATCACTAAGCCAACCTCTGGTTGATAATACTTCACAATGATAGGATACAGTTTAAAGGAGCTAAATCGCTAACATTTGGGACCTAGAGATTGACAAAAGTGGGTCGCAACGCATATAATACTGTAATATGAATGTATATAAACTGATTTACATTCAATCGTTTCCGTTTTTACTCCAATTTCAAATCAGTTATGTTCGGCGAAATAAGCCAGCAGTCTCAAGCGAGCGCAAATTTCTAGCGTCTGGTTATTCCAGTCTACATACGCCGTTTGATTTGGTGCAATGTGTCTAGCCTCGTCCCTCGAGTCTCTTGATGCAACTGGGGCTGAAGCGCATTATGGTACACGATTCGTGTACCAATGGTAAAATGTTTATTTTGTCTTAAATATTGGATATCAAAAGCCCATCTTTTCCCGGTAAGATCACAACATGAATGTTGATTTAATTAGACAAATAAACCGTGTTTTCAATGTTGACGATTTTGGATGATATGGAGTTAGAGACTTAGCTACTTTAATATCACCATAATCATTTGAGCCATCTGTAGCTACACTAAAAGGTTCCGTCTGTAACCTTTCGGAAATGTTCCTGTCATCAATAGATGCCAGAGATTTCACAATTGCAGTTGTTTTGGTTCTTCCACAACCATATTGTTTTGCAATTCCCGAATCCGGAAACATTGTTTAAACAATGACGCCGGCTTTATCGGCAATCGTAAAAGGTAGATTGTTTTCCACCAAGAACTGGGTAAATATTACCTCTGATTTTATTGAATCATCACTTGCTGAAGTTGAAAATAATAACAAAATTTTTGTGTTCTTGTTCTGGATGTTCAATAAATCCACATGTGCTTTAGTTTGCGTATGTCTCACTAAGTCCATTTTTCCGCCATGGGAAATACTAATATCCGTACAGCACACTTTACAGAACGCATAACCATCCCCGTGATAAGATTTTCCAAAACACGGAAACGCGATTGAATAATCTGCCTTGAATTTTTGATTGTGAACAATTTTTCTCTTCTTCGGTAAACTTGCCATTTTGATTCGTAAGACTCTGTTATCCGGACCTTAATTCAATGAGAAGATAAATAACAGAAATGGCGTTATATCCTACTCTAGTGTGGTTACGCGGGAAAAAATGTTTTGAACATCAAGACCGTCGTCTATAATATCTAACAATGTGCGTCTATTTATAGATTAGCACACACGATGACCAGGAAATCGCGACTAGGCGGTGTAGAGCATTTTAGTGCCAGGATTTAATTCTCCATCTATGAAATTTGGTCCCTCTCGATGACGGGCCGAGAATTGAGCGGAAATTGAGTGGAAATCAGGGTAAATAACAACACAAAACGGAGTGCGGATTTTATTGCTAATTTTCGGGGTGACTCCGCAAAAAACGGAGTGGTTGGCATCTCTGTTATAACCCAAAGATCTTGGTTCCTTTCGATATTCGTGCATATCGGACCATAACGTCCTGAATTATGGCCCCTGATTGTACGAAAAATTGCGTTTTTAGCTTGTGGACACTATAGAGGTCATAATTTTTATCCGATTTAAAAAAACGTTTTATTTTATCACCAGTACACCCTAAGGACGACTGAGTTCGAATTTCGTGAAAATCAGCCCAAAACTGACAGACAAAATGGCTGCCCCTCATTTTCAAATAGCGTAAAAATATGGTATATCAAGGTTGTGGACCCTATAATAGAGGTCACAATTTTGTTGAAACTTGAAATGGAAGTTTATAACCCAAAGATTTTGGTTTCTTTCGATATGCGTGCATATCGGACCATATCTTAATGAATTATGGCCCCTGATTGTACGAAAAATCGCGTTTTTAGCTTGTGGACTCTATAGAGGTCATAATTTTTATCTGATTTAAAAAAACGTTCGAATATATCACCATTACACCAAAAGGATGGTTGATTTCGAATTTCATAAATATCGGACCAAAACTGACAGACAAAATGGACGCCCCTCATACTCAAATAGTGTAAAAAATATGGTATATCAATGTTGTGGACCCTCTAGAGGTCACAATTTTCTTTTGATTTTGTTGAAAGGGGCGACGACAATATACATGTACGTCCACATGAAAATGTGGGCGTATAACAAGTATTCACAAATAAAAAAGTTTTCTGTCAAAATTTAAATTTTCAAAATTTGGCGCCTAATATATTGGAAGATTAATCGAAAATCAAAAATCTAAAGAATTGTAGCTTTTTGCCTTGTTTCAGGCTATGTCAAAATGTATCAAATGTTAAAATCCAACAATTTTTGTTAATATTACGGCAATATTTCAAAAGATAGGTTGCCAGGCAATGAAACAGCAGCTAAATCGTCCGGGCAGTCAACAAGAGTTGTCGCATATTTTTACTTTTTTCGGTAATGGAACATTTATAATACATTACACTAAAATCTGATTAACAGTACAACTCATTAAGTAACTGTCCGAAAATCAAAACAATTTGTTTGGTTTTTATAAAGTTAAATATACTCTGTGTATCAATCCGAAGTCAATCGGATGATAACTTTAGCCTCTAGAGCATTACAAGATTTTTCAAAGTGATCAAGGACCACATAACTTTGGAAGACAAGTAATTATCGGAAATCGTTGAAAATCAATTGGGTCCACAAGCTAAAAACGTTATTTTTCGTACAATCAGGGGCCGTAATGCATGAAGTTATTGTCCGATACATGCCAATATTGAAAGGAACCAAGATCTTTGGGAGATAGACCTATATTTCCAGTTTTGTCAAAATCGGATAAAAATTGTGACCTGTAGAGTGTCCACAACATCCTGACTGACGGGCGATGGCATATGTCCGCATGAAAATGTGGGCGTATATAAAATATGTGCCTTACTTTGCTCATAAACATGAATCTTACCTACAGAAAAGCAGTTAATTTAGCAACATCATATCATGTTTTTTATAAAAGTTTAACATATAAGAAGTACAATTAGGATTATAACTGTTAGTAATAATTTTAATGAGTAAAAAAAGTAAAAGAATTTTTTAGAAATGTTAGCAGCTACTTACAGATTTAACTTTTAAAAAGGTAAACATAAAAATGATGGCAATTAATTTGACTTGGACTGTTTAGTTACAATTTATCAAAAAACCAAGTTATGTATTTTGATGTTGAAAACTGGAAGTTAAAAGTTGACTTATCTATTTCATAAATACAGGTTGGCAGGCAACAAAACATACACCCACAGTAGCTAAATTGTCTGTGCAGTCCACAAGGGTTGTCGCATATTTTTTCTTTGGTCGGTCATGAAAAAATTTACAAGACGCTAAAACTAATTAAGAGTAACACACCATTAAGTATTTATCAAAAATCATTAGACTTTTTTGACTTGCAGTTCTCCGCGATGACTTCTATTATACAAAACATGTAATATGATGAATCTGACTGTTCCAAGTTATCGGAAATTGTTAAAAATCACAAGGCTTTTTTGTCTCATGAACATGGACACTTTGTATAAAATTAAAGGCAATCGGATAATAACTTTAGCCTCTGGATTGCCCACAAGTTATCTTTCAAGGTGATCAAGAGACATACCTGAAAAAATTAGATCCTATCCATCATTAGACTCCTTTAAATCCAGACTGAAAACATACTTATTAGAGAAATATTTGCATGAGTGACTGTTTTTTATTGTACTGCAATGAGCATGACTATATGTAAAATTAGCGCGATATAAATGGACATATCATTTCTGTCAGTAATTATAGGAAACCAATAGCATTCTTCGTCTCATAACCTTAAACAATGTGTATAAATTTATAGAATGATAACTTTAAACTCTGAAGCATCCACAAGAACTTTCCAAGTGATTAAGGACCCTAACTCTTGCAGTAATCATCAGAAATCATTGAAAATCAAAAGGCGTCTTCATCTCGTGACCTTACCCACTGTATATAAGTTTAAAGTCAATCGGTTGATAACTTTGGTTTGTAGAGCATCCGCAAGATTTTTCAAATCGATCAAGGGACATAACTCTTGCAGTAATTATCGGAAATCGTCGAAAGTTAAAAGGTTTCTTCATCTCATGACCTTAAACACAGTGTATAAGTTTAAAGTCAATCGTTTGATAATTTTGGTCTCTCGAGTGTCTACAAGATTTTCAAAATTGATCAAGTGACATAACCCTAGCACTAATTAGCAGGAATCGTCGAAAAATTAAGAGGTTTCTTCGTCACATGACCTTAAACACTGTGTATAAGTTTAAAGTCAATCGTTTAATGATTCTGGTCTCTCGAGCATCTACAAGATTTTCAAAATCGATCAAGGGACATAACTCTGGCAGTAAGTGTCCAAAATCAATAGGATTCTTCGTCTCATGCCCTTAAACACTGTGTATCAATTTCAAGTCAATCGAATAATAACTTTAGTCTCTAGAGCAATTGTTGGTGAGGGATGACAATATACAACCACATTTCAATATGGGCGTATAAAAACTGTGCTTCTAATGCTTGCCTTTTTTTTTAAAAACTGCTATAGCAATTTCCCCACATGAATTACAGAATACAGATGATGGGATTAGCGTCCTAATTCTAATATTATGTTTACATTTTAGCTTGAGAAGAAGACAGATTAAAAAAAAAGCACTAGGAAAGGGATATAATTAATAATTACTATCTCTTCAACAAGGGAGGTTTCAGGATACGTTTCTTTGAACCATGCGACTCGTCCACTTTTTACCCCTCCTTTGATAACAGCATTCTCAGAGTACTTTTCAGTTCCCCTCTGAAATAGGTGAAAAAGACGCAAGCCATACACAAACATATCATATAAAGCAGAAATCAAATCCAAAAATAAAAAAAATGTGATACATGACTATAGGCGGTATATAAAATATGGGTTAGCACATGTCTGTAACTCTATAAGCTTGATTATCTGTTTCCCCATTTGAAATTTTGAATACCTCTTAAACAAGCGGTTGCCATGCAAGATACGCCCACATTTTCTAAGAGATGGACAGAGAACAGAAAGCCTTGGGAACGCTGTAGCCTCTATAGTGTTCACAAGGTTTTCAGAAAAGTGTGTAAAGTCTGGAACGAAAATTTGAACATCAATAGGGTTTGTCCTCTCATAACCCCAATGCTTCACACCAAGGGTGGGAAACGCTGAATATCGATTGAGTTCACCCTTGAAGATATCCGGACAGACAGGAGCGACGACATAATACATCCACATGACAGTGTGGGTGCATAAAAAATTCAAGAAGGAAATATGTTAGAAATAATACCCTAATAATTTTTCATAATGTTTGAAAAAGAATTAAGGAGACATTATAATAACCATTATTTATTTCCAGTTCATATCACACCATTTTTCAGTTTTATATAGGACTTATAATCGATTTCAAAATTTAATAATTTTATTTCTGCTACAAAATTATCCAAAAATATCACAATTTTCATTATGAAGTGGCCAGTGGGTGTAATTTAATATTTACATGGAACATAACTCACTCAGAACATTATTAACAAAACAAATGTAACATCAATAAGAGCGGAGATATAAATCAGTCAATTTCTGTAAAAACTAGATAACATAGAACCTAGACCAAATGATAACATTATCAATCTTTATTAATTATCAGGAGGGCCTGACAAGGACAGCTGTCTAGTCCTTCGCATGATATGAAAAACCAAGGTCCCGTGTATACATTGGAATGCACGTAAAAGATCCCTTGGCAGTTGGAATTCAATATAAGAGTAGGCGATAGTGCCGCTGCCCGGGCAAAATTTCCCTCATAGCACACTGTATGGCATATGCCCGTCTTCATTAGCCCACTATAGGAGCAGAACAGTAGGTCGTTAATCCCCATTTCATTTCATTTATTAATTATCACTGGTTTATCATTAGGGTGTCACATTTTTTAAAATCGTATAAAAATTGTGACCTCTTAAAGTGATCACAAACTAAAAATGTTATTTTTCGTACAATCAGGGGCCATAAATCCAGGAAGTTACAGTAGATATGACCGAATATCGAAAGGAACCGAGATCTTTGCGAGATATACCAATATTTCAAGCTTTGTCAAAATTAATAAAAGTTGTGACCTGTAGAGTATCCACAAACAAAATGTGAACGGACACACGGATGGACAGACAGGGGCGACGACAATATACGTTCACATGAAAATGTTGGCGTATAAAAAGTGTTAAAATATATAATGTCTCTTAATAAAACTGTTCCAAAACCCCAATGACCAAGAGAAAGAGATACTTTAAAATGGCAAAAAATAAACACATGTAAGCACATAAATTATAATGTTTATGGGGGATTTGCAGTCAGGCAGTTTCAGTCCAGAATGAAAAATATGCACACACATTTTACTAAGAAATTCTGCCTTGTGGGTTTACTGCTGAAAGCTTTTCTCCAAAACAATTGAATATCCCAAAATGATTTAGCGACATATTTATTTATCATGTCCCAAACTTCTGCATTTATAGCAATTAACGAGAAAAGACACAAAGCAAAATCATAACAAATCACAATTATACAAAAACCAAAGATAGGTTTCCAGGCAATGAAACATACGCCCACGGCAGCTAAATCATTCGGGCAGTCAACAAGAGTTGTCAAATATTTTTACTTTTTTCGGTAATGAAGAAATTATAATACATTAAAATCTGATTAAGAGTAACAACTCATTAAGTAATTATCAGAAAACCATTAGAATTTGTTTGGTTTTTATAAAATTTTGCCCCATGCTCACGTTTAGTATACAAAACTTTTAACATCATGGGTTTAGCTGTTTAAGTTATCAAAATTCATTGAAAATCAAAATACTTGTTCGTCTCATGACCTTAAACTCTGTATATCAATCTGAAGTCAATCGGATGATAACTTTAGAACTAGAGCGTCACAACAGACTTCTTCGTCTCATGACCTTAAACACTGTGTATAAATTTGAAGTCAATCGGATATTAACTTTAGCCTCTTGAGCATTTACAAGATTTTTTGAAGTGATCAAGGACCATAACTCTGGCAGTAATTATTGAAAATCGCTGAAAATGAATAGGCTTTTTCGTTTCATGACCTTAAACACTGTGTATAAATTTAAACTCAATCGGATATTAACTTTAGTCTCTAGAGCGTCCACAAGATTTTTCAAAGTGATCACGGGCCATAATTCTGGCAGTAATTATCGGAAATCGTTGAAAATCAATAGGATTCTTTGTCTCATTACCTTAAACACTGTGTATAAATTTAACGTCAATCGGATATTAACTTTGACCTCTAGAGCGTAAACAAGATTTTTTGAAGTGATCAAGGGCAATAATTCTGGCAGTAATTATCGGAAATCGCTGAAAATCAATAGGCTTCTTCGTCTCATGCCCTTAAACACTGTGTATAAATTTAAAGTCAATCGGATATTAACTTTGACCTCTAGAGCGTCCACAAGATTTTTTAAAGTGATCAAGGGCTATAACTCTGGCAGTAATTATTGGAAATCGCTGAAAATCAAACGGCCTCTTCGTCTCATGACCTTAAACACTGTGTTTAAATTTAAAGTCAATCGGATATTAACTTTAGCCTCTAGAGAGTCCACAATTTGCTTGTGGACGACGGCCGGACGGGGGCGCCGACAATATACGACCACATGGGCGTATAAAAATGGTACTCTCATGCTTCTAAATTTACACACAACACAGTTAAAAAGCAAAACAACCAATTCCCTATTGTATAATAATATTTGAAAGTCAACACAATAAACCTTGTACAATAGAACATCCACACAAAATATAACCATTTTTTAACGCTGGGTCATTCTACGTCAAGTGGGCCAGGGGTGGGAAAATGACCCCCTCGAAAAAAATATGTGTTATTGTACATGTAAAAACTAGAAACTTTGCAAAATTTGTGGTCTGTAGCTTGAAAAATGACTGAGATATGGGCATTTGAGTTTCATGAGTTACCCATAAGTTTTCGAAACAAAATATGTATCAATAATTTACTTTAGTTTCAGACATCTTATTTTTACCTTTCTAGTGAAGATATACAGCTCAAATTTGGTAATCTTAAAGAACTTTTTGTGTAGATTATGAATCTGCAATCAGTGGTACAGTTCGCATGCTACTTGATCATAAAAACCGAAAAAAAATTGGTGTAATTGTATATTTTCTGGATTTTGTAGTGCTCCAGGAGATACAAAGAAATAGATATAGACACAAATTTTGGCCTATCCAGAGATTGCCGGTAGCACTACATAAGAAACATATGAAACGCATCAGCCTTCATTAGATTCCCAGAAAATTGGCCTATAATATGGTTTCAGACACAAATTTTCGAAAATTGCCGGTAGATGAGCACCTAAAAATCTTAAACTTGGTGTAAACATAGTTTGTACTAATGTCTCCAACATATGTTTAATCCATTCTTGTCCCATGCGATTTCAATCTTTTTTTCGATTTTTTAAAAATCTGTGTTTTGGGTCATTATTCTACAGTAAACTTCGCATAAGTTGGATCTAAGTGGACCGACCAATTTTATCCGAGTTAAGTGAAGATCCGAGTTAGCCAAAGACCTAGTTCAGCTCTGAACGTAGGTCTCATTATCGCCCTGTACGTTTAGGAACCGTCCTATTGAATCCTTGTCGAAATAAAATCGGTTCCATGTCAATTTTACTGGGCAACATTTTACTGCTAAACGGTCGTATGTCAGTCTCTGAATGCCTCAACAATGTAAAGGAACATTGTAGTGAGAAAATAAGACCTTGCTTACCTCGCTAGAGTCAGTATGTGCAACACAACATGCTGTTAAAAATGCGTCCCATTCGGTTTTGGTAGACGCCATTGGGGTCTAGATGTGGGGTGGCGCACGGATATACGTGGCTCGGCAGGGCTCGACACTGCCGGCGGCCTCGGCCTTCGAATTTTAGAATTTGGCCGCAGATTCGTGGCCATGTATGGTCGCAGATTAGTGCTGGGTATCGAGAGTTATTTTTACTATCGATAATCGGTATCGAAACAATCTTATTTTCACGATCGTAATGAAGAATAGATTACGTGTTTTAGAAATTAAAGTCAAACCATATATACGATGTTTTTGTTCGTCTAATTAATAATAAACTGTCTCATATTACGTATAAATTGTTTAAATAATGTAGCCTTGGTTCCGAATGACGAAATACCATTGATAGGCCTATATGTATGTGCAGGAACCAAAATAAAATGAGCACGAGTCGATTCAAAACATTGCGTACGTGAGCACGACAAATACCAATATGGTGGACAAATCGTTGTCGATTCGTGTGCAAAAACTAAAGAAAATGTAATAGCCTAAAGAGCTTGTTATCACGAATTCGTAAATTGTTTATTATTATTTAAAAAAATACAGCCTTGATTCCGAAAGAAGAAATATTTATAAATAGCCTAATGAGCAGATGAATTCTGAAAGGGGAAAAACTCTGAATTATTTACACATCCGGGTATCTCCAATTTTGCGAATTCCATGATATGGCGATTATTGTTTCAAACTAAAGTATTGTTTAAATGTGGGTGAATTTATTTTAACATTTTTTTTTAAAAGCTAAATTGAGATTGAGACTTTGAAGTAAATATAGAGTGACCGATGTAGGCTATTGTATTATTATATATATACGAAGCCGAAGGATTAAGTCACAGAAAACATCGAGTCGACTCCTACGCACGCACGAAAAATAGACGAAGAGAACGATACCGGTACTCGATAGTGCTTTTTGGCATATCTTATCGATACTATCGATATTTTAC